TTCAAGTTTGGAAACAGGTAATAGTCACTGAGAATGAAATCTGGAGAATACGGTGGGTTAAGAAGCAATTGGTACTGAAATTCATTTAATTTTGCCATGCTTTTCATTGACGTGTTAGCGGGTGCGTTATCCTGCAAAAACAAAATTTTTTTCTTCGATCGTCGTTTTTTCTTGATTTCCTCAATATCCAATAACACGCAATAGTATTCTGATGTTATTGTTTTTTATTTTTCCAAATAAGGTGTAAAAATTTTTCTACTGGAATTCTAAAATACTTTTCCAGCCAAGTGTTGAGTTCGTGGTCGTTTGGGAACACTATCCTATATCTCCACCCATTCTCTGGTTTGTTGTTTTTCCTTAGGTGCAACGTAATGGATCCATGTTTCATCAATTGTGACTATTCGACGCTCGCAGTCACATAGATTATGTATAAACTTATTATGTATATGTCGTTGTCGTTTTTGGTCAATTGTCGTTTTGGTCGCAAACGCGACACTCATCTTGTCAAAACCCATTTCATACCCAAATATTCACGTAAAATATTCAATACATGTTCATATGATATGTATGTCATCTCTGCTATTTCACGCAATTTAATTCTTGGACATAAGACTTTTTTTATACCGTCTATTTCACTTCCCTTAGCTACACCCTGAGCTAAGGTTTGTAATTGAAATCTTTTACAATAATTTTCTCGCAGAACTGAATATAACGAAGACGCTTATCAATCTACAGTTTCAAATGGGATGTATAATTTCTTTGCTTTTTTTATTTATCATGACTTAAATTTATAAAAATAAGTTACTAAGATTGATAAAACATATCTCCTATTATTCTATTATAATCTGCTATCATAGGAAGATTGTGAAATATGTCTGCTATTCTATTATAAACATCGTTCATAGAATCCGCTCTAAAATAAAAAATGCTTCTAACTTATTCCTAATATTCGCTTTGTTATTATAATAAAAAAAAATTCCTGAATTTTTCGTTTTATTTTTATTAGAATAATACACATAATACTAAAATGTATATATATTTTTAAATTTACAATTCAGTCTAAATTATTAAATACTTATATAAATCTTTTGTTAACAAAATTTTTTAATGGTGTTCACTTTCCGAATTCAAATTCGCTTTAATTTTATCACTCAACCCTTCATCGATTTTATTAGTGAAATGTAGTTCCTCTGAATTCACTTCTGCTGCATTATTACTCAGTACTTCGGGTTCTATAACAATTTTCGACTTTGTCTCATCGCTTTCAAGTGATAAATCCAAATCCGCTTCATCGCTCACTGTTGAACGTGACTGTGCTAAATAAATAGGGTTTGATTGTGTCTCTAATGGCTGTCCGGAAGGTACTCCAACACTTACAGGACACATGCAAGGTACAAATTGTATATTTGTAGGTAACTGTGATGATTTAATTGAAGATGGAGCATAAGATGAATAATCCGGGTATGGATAGTGAGGTCTGTAATAATTTGGGTTATAATTACTCGTATAAATACGTCGATTATAAGTAGGGAATTCACTGCCATAATGTCCAAAAGGTGCTCCATTTAAGAGAGGTTCAACGATTGGTGTAGTCATAGTTGTTGTTGTTGTACTAGTTGTAGTTGTAGGTGCAGGAGTTGTTGTTGAAGTGGATGTGGTTGGAGCTGGAGTTGCAGTTGTTATTGCAGAAGCAGTAACATCATGTTGAAATTCTGGATTGAAATTGCCTGAAAAAGTATCATAACGAGCTCCAGCTAGTAGGGGCGATTGTTGCGGTGAACCGTAGCCACCATTGCCAAAGAATGGATACGAGTAGGGATTAAGTGAGAGCGGTTGGTATGTATAAGTTCGATAATATGTGAGTGGTATGTGTTTAATAACTGTTGGTGTCTCCCTTTATTGACAAAGAAATAAGATAAGAAAACACAATTAATTGTTGTAATAAGAATCGTATAATTGTTATTCTGCTTACGTTGTTGTTGGATTCCACCAAAAAGCGTTAGTTTTTAAAATTATCACGGAAAGAAACTGAAAATAATGGCAATACAGTTTAATAAAGTGAAAAACCTATTATATATCACTAATTTAAAATGAAATTATTATTTGAAATTCCTAACAAAGTCGGAGAGATATCCAAGCCAGTATAATATTTATGGACTAAGAATTTTTGAATTTTTGTGCCTGAGACTGTCTAATTTGGATACAAAAGATGTCCGATACAATACGAACCATATACAATACACAAGTATTAGAAGCGTTCGATATGATAGAATGTGATAATCTAGAGAATATAGTTAAGCAGAATATCATTAAAGTTTTTAATAACGTAAGAGGAAAAAATTTTGTGTTAACTAGACAGCAGAAGGATTACTTCTCAAGACTGGATGAGATAATATGACAATGAGTCAATGACACCTTATGACATTAACCAGAGTCAAATTTTTGCTCGTATTCTTTTATATATACGAGTGAAAATTTATGTAGTCGTGTCCTGCGATCGCGACGAAATAAGTCCAATATCTATGAAAATTGTTATTTTAGGAGACATGAGCTTGAATAAGTGAACTTTCCAAAATTCTCTTTTTTTGTCGAAATATGAATTTATCAAATATTTTTTTATGCTTTTCATTTTCCACAGGTTGATTTCAAGAATAATTTCCTTTTAATGTGAAGGAAAGAGAATTTGCGAAAGAGTGTCTAAAGCAAAAGGGTTTATCTTTTCAT